TATGGCCATCCATTCTAAATGACAGCTTTGCAGGATAGAGTAATCTTAGTTGAAGGTTCTTGCTTTTCATCACTCTGAATATTTCTTGCCACTCCCTTCTGGCCTGCAAAGTTTCTTTTGAGAAATCAGCTGACAGTCTTTTGGGAACTCCCTTGTAGGTAACTAACTGCTTTTGTCTTGCTGCTTTTAAGATTCTCTTTGTCTTGAACCTTTTGCATTTGGATGATGATGTGTCTTGGTGTGGGCCTCTCGGGGTTCATCTTGTGTGGGACTCTGTGCTTCCTGGACTTGTATGTCTGTTTCCTTCACCAAGTTAGGGAACTTTTCTGCCATTATTGTTTCAAATAGGTTTTCATTTTCTTGTTCGCTCTCTTCTCCTTCTGGCACCCCCAAGATGCGAATGTTGGCACACTTGAAGTTGTCCCAGAGGCTCCTTACACTATCCTCCTTTTTTTGGATTCTTTTTTCTTTTTGCTGTTCTGATTGGGTGTTTTCTGCTTCCTTATATTCCAAATCAATGGTTTGCTTCTTGGACTTACGTACTCTACTATTGAATCTGTGTAAATTATTTTTTATTTCAGTTAATGCCTCCTTCATTTCTGACTGTGCATCCATCATTTCTGACTGGTCCTTTTTGATGCTCTTGAGGCCCTCACTAAGTTCACTGAGGTTCTCACTAAGTTCATTGAGCATCCTTATAAGCAGTATTTTGAACTCAGCATCTGTTAAGTTGCTTATCTCCATTTCACTTAGTTCTTTTCCTGGGGTTTTGTTTTGTTCTTTCATTTGGGACCTATTTCTTTGTCTCCTCACTTTGGTTGCCTCCCTGTGTTTGTTTCTGTGTATTACTTAACGAGAGGTATGGGGCTAGCTGAGACCAGATGCTGCTTTTTTTAAAGAATTTAGGAAAAACCTGAAGCAGGATCCAAAACAGGCCAATCCTATGGTTAAGCAACTGACAACAGCTTGGGTGGGCCTGAAAGTTGGGTGGGGCGGGGCCTCAGGGAGTCACCAGGGCGGGGCTACCATTGTGAGCCAGGTTGCTGGAGGCCCAGATATGGTGGCTGTCTGCCGCCCCAGGGAAGGGCTCACCAAAGGAACAAAGGCCTCTGACAGCACGTTTGTCCCAGAGAGAGCCCCCTCTCCAGTGCCAAACAGCTCAGTTCTTTCCTGTATGTCTCTGGTGCCCCTCGAATTGCCTCCCCTCCAAGCTTAGAGGGAATAAGTCCGACAAGTCTGTGCACGGCCCCTTTAAGGAGCTGCCTGGGGCTCCAGCCACGTCAGCCCCCCTGAGCCTCAGTTCCCGCTGGTTTTCAGCCAGAAGTGATGGGGATTCTCTTCCTGGCACTGGAACCCTGAGCAGGGCACCTGATGTGGGATGGGGACCCCAGTCCTCAGGGAGGACCTTCATAGCTGAGGTGTCTTCCTGATTATTATCCCCACATGTAGGTGTGGGCCCAGCCCATCCGCCTCCACCCTCCTTCCAGGATGTGGCTGCTTCTTTAATTTCGTAGTTGTAGGACTTCCATTCAGCTTGATTTCCAGCAGTTTTGAACGATGGTTGTTCTGTAGTTTAGTTGTAACTTTGATGTGGTTGTGGGAGGACACGATACTGTGTTTACCTACACCGGCATCTTGACCGGAAGTGTGCTTAACTTTCTTCATTTCATGATGGTAGAAATGATGTGAGAAGGGGATCATATGAGATACCAATAATTATAAAGTCACATTGACCCGTCCTGCAGGTCGAGCAACGAGGACTCTAGAGGGGGAGTGAGGATGAGGAGGGACAAGAGACACGAGAAATGGAGACAAGACAGGGTTCTGATCAAGTCTCGTTTATTCTGGGGAAATTCACACAATATATAGGGCAAGAAGCACCTTTTGTCAAGCACCACACTTGCCCGAAGCAATTGTAGGAAATACCACAAAAGGAACAAAAGGTCAGCAAAGACTGGCTTGTTGAGTAAATGGTTATTTAAAGAAATGCAAAATGCAGAGATAGAGAAATGCAGAATGCAGAGATATCCTGCCTTGGGGCAGGAGATGGCAGAGCAGATTTTAACAAAATGGATGCCATGCAAAAAGTCTCCCACATCACATAAGCTTTACACTGTCAAGAAAACATAAACTAGCACTGAAAAAAGGAAAGGGACCAAGGCTGGATTTCCTTTGCTCTTCAATGAAATAAAATTCATCACCTTTTACCTCGTGTTTCATAGCATCACCTGTAAGTGTAAAAATATGGAAATGATCCCTGAAAAAAGAAAAAATGAGCACAGAAGGCTCTGTGCCTTCCATTGAAACAAAAAACTTCCAGCTGTCCTCTTATTAAAAGGCACAGAAAACTTCCCAGTTTGACGATATCAAACATATCTCTTTTGCCAATACTCTGCATTTCACCTCAAATTTTCTTTAGATCACTGTCCTCTAAACATCAATAGCTTTCTGGTTTTTTAACCAGGAAACCACATGGGAGTTGCACAGGTATCACTACTCATAGAGAACTAATGATGAGCTACAACTGTCCAGACCAGAACACTTTTTTTTTTTTTTATTGACTGGCTGCCACCCACACGACCCCAACCAGGGCCGGGGACAAACTGCAACTGTATGTGCCTTTAGCGGACACCAAACCTGGGACTCTAGTCTGCGGGCCGATTCTCGAACCACTGAGCCAAACCTGCCAGGGCCAGAACTTTTTTTAAACTGGGAGGAACTCAAAGGTTTCATAAGGTACACAAATTGTGTCCCTCAGTTTGAATAGTAGCTAAATGATATTCTATTTCAAAAGTGAATTTCAAAATATTTCAATTGGTGTTAAAGAGAAATATCAATATCACAAACACCATGGCCTAAAGCAATGAGAAGTCCCTCATGCCACATACCCACATCCATACTCACAATCAAATAGCACGTGCTCACAAACCTAGAATTATGTCTATAGTTTTCTGGAAAACTATTTGCTGTTAATGTCAGGAAGGTAGAACTTTAGGTATTGTTGTCCATTGTTAAATCCACACTCGAGCAGATCTTCAAGTCTTTAAGATGTAGTAGATGGGGAAAAAGATGATCAATGATGACATCACATCCCCATTCACTGAGGCCCCTACCCTCCCTAATGAAGATACATAATCCACACCACTTTCCTATTATCTCACCTATCAGTGTTTCCTTATCTTCAAAATCTTTATTTTCTTAGAATCTAAAGCTTTTTCATTTAACCATCTCTCTCTTTCTACAAAAACATAAGCACCAGGAGTGCAAGACATTTTTTCTTTCATGCCTGTATATCCACAGCCTAGAGTGACTTGAATTGGGTATGTTTTCCTTTTAAATCACCTGGTACTTGCAGGATGTTGAAAAATTAACATCAAGATCATACTTTCACCCTGGTCAGGTAGCTCAGCTGGTTAATGTCTCATCCTGATATGCCAAGGTTGTGGGTTCGATACCCTGTCACAAAATAGAATCAACCAATGAATGCATAAATAAGTGGAGCAACATATTGATGTTTCTCTTTCTCTCTCCATCTAAAATCATTTTTTTTTTAAATCATACTCTGTCAGCAAGAATGGCTTCATTGGACAAGAGATACTTATTTTGTTTTCCTGCTGGTTTGTGTTCTTTGACAATATCCCTAAATGTATAAACCTCATTTGACTCATAAAGGAGATAAGAAGTGTCACATATCTTGTTAAGGAGTCGTAATTAGGAATGAATATATATATATATATATATATATATATATATATATATATATATTCATGTTTTAACTGAGGTACTTTGTGGAAATGTGTCCAATACACTATAGAAAACATTGCAATATTTAGATAACAAGAAAGGCAAAAGCTGTTCCAGACAACTGATTACTGGCCTTGCACACCCTGCCATCTTGTAGAAAAGTCACACACATCCCTCCTCACACAAAGCTACTCCATGACCACGATGAATCAAGACAAAAGCAAAGGCATTCATGTCTGTATAAGTGATAAAAGAAGTCTCCAAAGAATAAAAGTGACAAAAAGTTCCCTTTTCTCACTAATATGATTTGTGCTTCTTACAATTCAGGTTTAGCTTTAAGTCATTTTTTTCTGTCTTCTAAATAAAGATGGTTATCACTACCCAAGATAGAATTAAGTTCATTTCCTCACAGAATCTAATGCAAAAAACTGTCTTAGTTCCCTAAAGGGCAATCAAATGATCTGTCACAAGGCAAAATACAAGAAATCCTTTTCAGTGAGCTGTTACTGTTACAGCCATGTGATTGATAGCTGTGGTCTTCTTATTATTAAAATTCATTTCATTACATCTCTCTTTTACGACAGATATGACCTTGTTGGTCTTTGGCTGGAGGGGACTAAAAAAACATGACTGAAGTTTTTAATGTTATGAATGAATAGGAAAGTAGTCTTGTGCTAAAAGTTGTGTCAAAACATTAAAAATATAATTTGCCCAAGGAAAACATGTCTGAATTTGTACACACATGATAATTGTGCCTCAGAATGTATAATGATTAATTAAATGGGAAAAAATTGTAATTTGATCCGAAGATACATAATTACAATGGGATATTTAAATATATCCTCAGGAAACAAAAAAGACCATAGTTCTTAGCTTAAGAGTGCTTGGGAAACAGTTAATATTTCTTTGGAAAGTACATAAGTATTTATTAGAGAAATATGCACATAATTTCCATCACAAGAACCAAAGGTAATTGAAAACACTGAGAGACTGCGCTCAGCTCTGAGTAGCAGGAAACACCCAGAGTCGGCTGCAGTGAGGAAAGTGCTGGTTCACACGGAGGGACCCGGACCGGCTCAGAGCGGTCACTGCACAGAGTGCTGGAAGAACAAGCTCACGTGGCTCCTCTGCGCTGTCACAGTGGAATCAGAATCAGTCGGCAGTAGTATCAACGGGACAAGATGATTACTAGTCGAATTAGACCTAAGACAAATGCAACCTAGAGAAGAATGTGTACATTCAGAAAACAGACTCACCATGACGGTCTACATTTGTTGCCACCATATGGTGGACACCTCTGGGCTTGCAGGAAAATCCAACCTATGCTGGATCTTTACTGTTGAATTACTGAACACCTATAAAATGGAAATGAAGCAGTCACTGGTGGTTTTGAGGATATTCTTGGCTGGCAGGGCAAAGATCGAGGAACACAGACTAAAAGCAAATGTACACAAAAGCTCCATGCATTGTCTGTCTCTTCATACAAGTGGCTCCAAACCCAGTCTAATCCTATTTCATTCGAGTTTCATGGATGTTCAGCCTTGGGATTTGTAACACGGAAACATAAAGGCAACAGATTGTGGAAAATGTAGTTCACAACATTCCTCACATTGACATAACATCAGGAAGGGTCATCTCCAACTCTAGATTTTATTGTCCTAACAGAGGTATTCTCTTCTTAATGCAAAGTTCATAGTCCAAATCTCAGCCAAAGCAATGACAAAAAGCAAAGGAAAAAAGATGAAAATCATTCACATGGACTCTACAATGAACTTTGTGTACTTACAAATATATGGCAGATATTTATTGACCAAAATAATTCTCAATGTCAAGTATAATCGAAAAATTAAAGAACATGTATTGACAAGAAAATGTAGTAAGTCTCTTCAGACCAATGAAAAGGCACTTTTCTGTTGAGATAGAATATATATGTGGGTGAGGCATGTTCATTCAATACTTGCCACAGGAGGCCAGTAGGAAGAAACAGAATATCCAAGTATCATTTTCAATGTTCCTTTCATTACAGAACAATTACAAGATTACATAAAAAGTTAAAACCTACTTACATATTAATAAACCACTTCCATTCACCCATGGATCTAACAAACTTCCTTTTAAAAACACAAAATGATTGTTAACTGACTAAAAGGAAAAAAAAAAAAACCTATTAAACTTCAAAGTTTTTGCTTAAAGAGTACCTATAGAAAATAAATTTGTTTACTTGCAAATTTAAGTGGAACTCCATACCACAGAAAATCACTTTAAGAATAGGTCAGTCACAGTGACTATAGATGTCTGATGCTTATAGCATTTCTCTTATGTTGTGAATTTTGCGGAGTATATGAATTAATTTGCATTAGGCTTTCATGTACTAGTTATAAGAATATGATTTCCTTCCAGTGCAGTTTTCAGGCTACTGTGAAAGTACTTGTTAAAATTTAAGTTTGTCCTCAGTGTATTACAGTAGCTGTCCAGTACACATTCTCTTGTAGGGATATAAGGCAAATGAAGGGTTTTCTCCATTATTTACATTCAGTAGAATTTTCTCCACTTTGAGTTTTTTCCATGGCCTTTCCAAGGAAATGGGACATCTGAATGCTTTTCCACATTTACTTGTATGCCCTCTCTCTCCATGTGCACTCATACGTCCATGAAAGGCTCCTCCAATATCCATATATTCATAGACTTTCTCTTAGGTATGAGTCCTTTCATGATTTTGTAAAGAACTAGGATGATGAAAGGCTTTTCTACAAGCTTTACATTGACAGGGCTTCTCTTCAGAGTGAGTTCCTTCCTTCTTTATAATAAACTGGAAGAAATGAGTGCTTTCTAAAATTCCTTACTTGCTAGGGTCTATCTCCAATCTGGGTTTTCATAGCACAGGTGAAATATAAATGAAGTATGCTCTGGAACCTTGTGGCTCATTTGGCTGGGTGTTGTCACATGTACCAAAGGTTGTCAGTTATATTTCTGGTCATGTAACATGCCTGCATTGCAGGCTCAAACCCTGGAGGGGGGTCATGTAGGAAGCAGCCCATCAATGTCTCGCATGTATGTTTCTCTGTCTCCCTTACTTTCTAAAACCCAATTTTTAAAAATCTTAAAAAGAAAGTGATTAAGGCCTGGGTGGAAGGAGGGTAAAGGTAGGGAAAATTGGGGGACATATGTAATATTGTCAACAATAAAAAAAAGAAGGCTCAAAAAAAAGAGAGAAAAATGCAGGCTCTCACATTCTTCACATTAGTAGGGTTTATCTCTAGAATGTTTTTTCACATGTTTACGAAAATTACTTGAGAAACTGAAGGCTTTACCACATTCCTTACATTCGTAGGGCTTTTCTCCACTATGAGTTCTTTCATGTTCCTGACAGTACAAAGCACAAGTGAAAGCTTTGCCACATTGCTTACACTGATACGGTTTCTCTCCACTGTGAGTGTTTTCGTGAATTTGAATGTAACTGAGACGACTGAAGGCTTTCCCACATTGCTTACATTCATAGGGTTTCTCCCCGGTATGAGTTCTTTCATGATTTCTAAGGGAAGAGGGATAATGGAAGGCTTTACCACACTCCTTACATTCATGAGGCTTGTTTCCATCATGAGTTCTTTTATGTTTTCCAAGATATCTTTGACAACTGAAGGTTTTACCACATTCCTTGCATTCGTAGGGCTTTTCTCCACTGTGTGTTCTTTCATGTGCTCGAGAGTACATGGGACAACTGAAAGCTTTGCCACATTGCTTACACTGATACGGTTTCTCTCCACTATGAGTTTTTTCATGAATTTGAAAGTAACTGAGACGACTGAAGGCTTTCCCACATTGCTTACATTCATAGGGTTTCTCCCCGGTATGAGATCTTTCATGATTTCTGAGGGAAAAGGGATAACGGAAAGCTTTCCCACATTTCTTACATTCATGAGGCTTCTTTCCATCATGAGTTCTTTTATGTTTTCCAAGATATCTGAGGCAACTGAAGGCTTTACCACATTCCTTACATTCATAGGGCTTTTCTCCACTGTGTAATGTTTCATGACATCGAAAGGTCTTTGGACACCTGAAAATTTTTCCGCACTCCTTACATTTAAAAGGCCCATCTCTAGTGTGCTTGATCATGTGTCTCTGAAATATGGTGAAGGAACTCAGGGCTTTCCCACACTTCTTACACACATAAGGCTTCTCTCGACTATGAGTTCTTACATGTCGATATAAGTTACTTAAGTGACTGAAGGCTTTACCACATTTTGTACACTCATAAGATTTTTTTCCAATATGAATACTTTTATGACCTCTGAGGGACCTGGAAAAACAGGAGATTTTACCACATTCCTTATACTCACGAGATTTATCATGCGTTCTCCCATGTTTATATAAGCTACTTAAAAACCTGAAGGCTTTACCACCTTTTGTACATTCATAGGGCTTCTCTCCACTGTGTTTCCTTTCATGTAGTCGAAAATATTGGCATTGCTTGAAAGTTTTCCCACATTCCTTACATTTATAAGGCTTATCTTCATATTTCTTATGCTGGTCTAGGTGGGGTCCAGTGTGAGAGCTCATGTGGTTCCTAAAGGACAAACGCTTGAAGACTTGTCTACACAACTTGGATGTAGGTTGTTTTATTTCAGTAGGAGATTTCTTCTTTTCATTATGATTTGGAATCTGGTTGAAGGTTTCTCTATATTGATTACCATCCTTCCTTTTACAGAGTCTCTCTACCATATGATTGCTGTAAAAATCAGAAGCATATTATTAATACTTTATTAATGATTTAATATTAACAGTACAACAATGACATTTTGACTATTTTCAAGGAAAGTGTGGGATTTCTGTGCATTCTGATTGTTGGAAAGTGGAATCTGAAAAGCTCTGAAACAGGGCTTGATCATAGATATTATGAAAACAGTAATATTTATTAATGGTGTTTCTGTATACCGTTTCCAAGTGTACTCATTTTTATACACCTAGGTCACATTAGAGAGAAATACTTTGGTGAAATTATTCTAAGAATCAAAACATTTGAAGCTGGGCTGATATGACTGGTTTGTCTGTGTTTTAAATTTGATGACATATTAAGATTCTCTTGTGGGACACTGCTTTCTCATGTCAGTGTGACTCACCTAAGGTTCAGCCCATGATTTTCATAGTGATCTTCACTGTCCTGGTCTTCCTGTTTGTCTTCTAAAATACATGCTAGAAAAAAAGTATCATAAATTATTAAATAATATAGAAAATGGTTAGATTTCAGGTCCATGGTGAGCTGTGATCATGCCCAGTTTAATTATCAACGATTCCTTTCCCACATTTCAGTTCTTGAAACAGCACTGATGAACAAGCAGCACACGTTTTCTAATGGACTAAGTGAATAAATAAGAAGTTGTCATTACTACCTATTGATGCCAGGTTCCAGAAGGTTTCCTGCATCACCTCTCTGTAGAGTTTCTTCTGGGTCGGATCCAGGAAAGCCCACTCCTCCATGGTGAACTCCACATTAACATCCTCCAAGGCCACGGAGTCCTGCAACATCCCACATGTGGATACAGGCGGCTGGGTGAGACAGACAGCACTGGGATCTCTACATAATTCATAACAAGTTCACATAGGACATGTGGTCCCCAACATTCATTTTATGACGCGGTTGTCAGACGATTATTTATTGGCCACACTCACTTCCTCATGAACATATGGAATTTATTGCTACATTGTTATTGTGATCACTTCAAATCTTCATTCCTCTCTAATGTCAGGGTACAGAGCACTTTGGAGAAATTCTATGCAAATAAGAAAATATTTCTATTTTAAGTATATCAATTCCTTGTGAGAAAACTCATCTCCTTTAAAAGCACCGTAAGATGCAGCACTCCATGAAGCACACTGTCATATCTGCATAAAGTTGTAATGACTATGAATAAAATAAAGACCTAGAAGCTTTTTCTTCTATTCTTTTTTGTTATTGTGGTTTTTGTTTTTTTGTTTTTTTAGAATTTTTCTTTGTTCATTTTAGAGAGAGAGGGAGAGAGGGATAAAAATATTGATGAGAGAGCATCGATTGGCTGCCTCCTGCATGCCCCTCACTGGGGATCAAGCCTGCAACCTGGGCATGTGCCCTGACTGGGAATAGAACCTGGATCTCTCTGTCCATTGGGTGATGCATAACCACTGAGCCACACTGGCCAGGATTTTTCTTCTGTTCTTATCACCAAACTAAGAGGCCAGGAGGTCTGTGGAAATTCAACTTGTAACAAAATGCAGCTGGCCATATTGCCCTGAAGTACTCCAGATTATTAGACATAGTCAGATCTACCTGGCTGAATGAAAATATTCTTGTGGAGAATGAATTATACTTGGTTTATATAATATTTATGACTGACTTGGTTTGACCATCTTTTGTCTGTCCCATTTCATGAAGCTAGGAAGTTACAGAGTTAGAGCTCAGGTATAAAGAAGGCAGGACAGCCTTGGCCAGTTTGGCTCAACTGTTAGAGCGTTGGCCCGTGGAATGGAGAGTCCTGGGTTCGGTTCCTGCTAAGGGAACGTACCTTGGTTGCAGTTTGTCCCCAGCCCCGATTGGGGTCGTGTGGGTGGCAGCCACTTGATGTGTCTCTCTCACATTGATGTTTCTCTCTGTTCCTCTCTACCTCCCGCTCTATCTAAAGATAAATGCAAGAATGTCGAGTGAGGATAAAAAAAGAAGGCAGGGCCATTTAGACCTCTACAAAAGTCCTGTACTCACGAGCCTCAGGGCTCCTTTGTGCCAATTTTTAGGACACAGACATATGTATTGAAATGATAAGATAAACAGAAGAAATCTTTCCAGCAGAATTGTTAGCACTGTAACTTGGGCCTTGACCTTGAGAAACAGCTTAAGACTTGGCATGTGCAAGGGGCTTCACTAAAATCCACAATACTTTCATGTTGAACTGGCACATGATTACAAAACACACATACGGTGCCAGGAGGTAATGAAAATATCAGTGGAAAACCATTGTAAAGTTTTGTCTAACCACTATGTTCTACACCTGAAACTAATATAAAATAAAATTAAAGGTAAACTATAAATGGTAGCATATATGAGCCTGCAACCTGGGCTCATAGATAGGAGGTATTGATATCATTAAAATGTTGCCCTGGCCAGTGTTGCTCTGTGGTTAGAGTGTCAGCCCACCCACTGAGGGGATCCCAGGTTCCATCCAGGTCAAGGGCATGTACCTGGGTTGCCAGTTCAATCACAGGCCCTGGCCTGGGGGTGTGTGGGAGACAACCAATCAATGTGTCTCTCTCAAGTAGATATTATCCCCTCCCTCCATCCCTCAGTCTCTTTCTCCTCCCTTCCATTCTCTCTAAAAATCAATAGAAAAATGTCCTCAAGTGACAACAACAAGAATACAACAACAAAAAATGCCCATACTACCTAAAGCAATCTATATATTCAACGGAATTACTATCAAGATACCAATGGCATATTTCACATAACTAGAACAAATAGTCCAGAAATTTATATGGAACCACCAAACACCCCAAAAAGCCAAAGCAATCTTCAAAAAGAAGAACAATGCTAGACAAATCACACTACCTAATATCCAACTATACTACAAAGCTGTAGTAACCAAAGTAACATGGTATTGGCATAAAACAAACATACAGACCAATGGAATAAAACAGAGAGCCCAGAAATAAACCCATTCCTTCATGGTCAACTGATATTTGACAATGGAGGCAAGAGCATACAATGAAGTAATAACAGTCTATTCAAATAAATGGTGTTGGGAAAGTGGGACAGATACATGCAAAAAAAAAAAGAAAAGAAAGAAAGAAACTAGGCCACTTTCTACAAAATACATAAGAATCAACTCAAATGGATTAAAGACTTAAATGTAAGGTTCAAAACAGTAAAAATCATAGAAGAAAACATAGGCAGTAAAATCTTGGACATTTCTTGCCCGGCTGGTGTGGCTCAGTGTTTGAGCATCAACCCATGCCCCAGGAGGTCGCTGGTTCGAGTCCTGGTCAGGGCACATGCCCAGGTTGTGGGCCAGATCCCCATGGGGGCATGCAGAAGGCAGCCTGTTGATGTTCTCTCTCATCAATGTTTCTCTCTCTCCCTCTCCCTTCCTCTCTCTCTAAAATCAACAAAGAAAAAAAATTTTTTTTAATCTTGGACATTTCCTGTAGCAATATTTTTTCTGATTTATCTCCTCAGGCAAGGGAAGCAAAGAAAATATAAACAAATAGGACTACATCAAACAAAAAGGAAACATTAACAAAATGAAAAGGCAACCAATTGAGTGGGAGAACATATTCAACAATGAAACATCTGAAAAGGGGTTAATACCCAAAATTTGTTACAGAATTTATAAAAACACCAAAAAACCACAATCCAATTAAAAAATAAGCAAAGGTTTTGCTCAGCAGTTGGAGTGTCAGTTCACAGACCAAAGAGTCATGGGTTCAATTATGGTCAAGGGCACATACCTTGGTTGTGGTTTGGTCCCCAGCCCTGGTCAGGGTCGTGCAGGAGGCAACCAATCAATGTGTCTCTCTCGCATCGATGTTTATCTGTTTCTCTCTCTCTCTCTCTCTCTCTCTCTCCTCTCCCCTCCCCCCCCCCCACTCTGTCTGAAAACAAATGGAAAGATATCTTTCGGTAACGACTTAATAAATAAAGCAAAGAACCTGAATAGACACTTCCCTAACAGGACATATAAATGGTCAATCCAATTTTAAAGTGGACAGCCCTGGCCGGGTGACTCAGTTAGTTCAAGTATTATATAGTACTTCCTCAAAAAATTAAAAATGGAATTGCCATTAGACCCAGCAAACCCACTTCTAGGAATATATCCTAAGAAGCCTATCAGAAAGAAGATATTGCATCATTATTTACAATAGCTAAGATCTGGAAATAGCCCAAGTGCCCATCATTAGATGAGTGGATAAAAAAGCTGTAGTACATTTACAAAATGGAATACCATGCAACTGTAAAAAAAGGATTTCTTTCCCTTTGTGATAGCATGAAGGGACCTGAAGAATATTGTGCTGAGTGAAATAAGGCAGTCAGAGAAAGACAAGTATCACATGATCTCACTTACAAGTGGAATCTAATTAACATAATAAACTGATAAAACAGGTCTAGAGGCATGGGGGCATGGAACAGACTGACATATCTCAGAGGGGTGGGGTGTAGGGAGAGGGGAAGAGATTAACCAAGTAACATATACATATATGCTTAGCTAATGCACACACACAATAGGGTGTTGAAGGCCTGGGGTGGGGCAGGGGCTGTAAGGAGGGGGCCAAAGAGGGGTGAAATTGGGGGACATCTGTAAAATAAACACACACACACACATATATATATATATATATGTATATGTATATACACATATACACATAAAATTTATATATATAAATTTTTTAAAAGAATTATCTGTGGTCACCACCAAAAGTCCCAGTTGTGTGGCAATTTGAAGAGAGTCTTCAGCCTTTGTGATAGGAGTGCCCATTCACGGTGGGATAATTTGTAAACAATTTGGAACAACAAAATAAATTAGTACATTTTGTGCGTGCTGATGGGGATAACAGCTATTTCATGTCAGGGATGGAGTGAGTCTCAAATTATCAAATAATTTCCAAAAATGTAACAAAGTTGACAGGGCCTTACATAACGTGTCATTCCACTTTTGCCAGCTCCTTTTTTCAATACTTGCGTGTCCTATATGTCCTCAGAGGACACATTCAGTGTAATGTGCCTGTGTTCTTGCACAAACCACATGCAGTTAAGACCTTGCCTGCAATGATTGGGGGTAGGGGTGGGGGCAAAGCTGCTGAAGTTCCAGGAGGATAACCAAGTCAAAGTGTATCATCTCCCTTCAGAGGTGAAGAACAAGTGCAGCTGATAGCCTGTTAAAATAGACACTGAGCAGAGCAGACTTAGTATCAGGGACAGCAGAATATTTGCCAGTTGCTGAGTGGATGGAGTCAATAATTTCCATAATGTTGGGGACTGGGAATAGAGGTTTGTTGGAGTGACCACAGCCTCAAGTTTGCAGGACTTCACAGTCAACTGTGATCCACTCTATTCTGGTTTAAGAACAAGCTGTTCAAAGGAGAAGCATTGGGGAAAATCAACCCTTCACTAACTAGGTGTTGTGTACAGGTTTCAGTCCCTCAAGTACCTGAGTCACTTACACTGGCCACAGGAACTCAATTATTTGGAGAGTTAGGCCCATGGGGTCCCACTTTATCAAATCAGTTTGTACATGAAAATTCATTCATTTAATTTTTTTTATCTTTATTGTTGAATGTATTATAGATGTTCCTCATTTTTCCCCCATTGACCCCCTCCTCCACACACCCGTCCCCCTCCTGCCTTTTCCCACACTGTTGTCTGTGTCCATTGGTTATGCATATATGCATATAAGTTCTTTGGTTTATTTCTTCCCACCCCCCAAACCTCCCTTCCCTTTGAGGTTTGTCAGTCTAGCAACCAATTTGTTCTTCCTAACCCCTTCACCTTTTTCACCTATTCCTCCAACCCCCGCCCCCTTCCATCT